TAAATATTAAATATAATATAATAAAATAAAATATATATCATATCATGTCCACTCTTACACCCAAAAAAAAAAAAAAAAACTTTCTTAAAAGCTACAAAATCTGAACATGAGTTTTGTGAATCTATATTCTATGAATCTTTTGATCTAAAGCTTACTGTGATTTGTTGGCGTTGATGGTGTGAAGCTATGAATGTTAAATCGATAAATGACTAATAATTTCATTTTACCCCCCTTAATTAACCTGGCATGGGTTGTCCGGTATTTTTTTACATGTTGGATTGCACCAAGCTAGATCCACGTGGTAGGGCTAACGTTACGGAGGATATTTTTTATACCAAAAATAAATGGAGAATAAATGTGAGCTATTTTATATTTTTTTTTTCTAATTATTTGTCCATTTTTTTTTAGTTGTTCCTAATTATTTATTCATTTTGATAAATAGACAAAAAAATTTACCTATTATTATATCCTCAATTAATTATTTTGACAAAGGTGAACAATTTTCAAAATCTTAAGTTTTTAATTCATCAATTTCATAATTAATAGAAATAAAATGATAAACTCATTATGTCAATCATTGTTTTTTTAATAAGTGTGTATTAATTCAAAAGTGAATAAATAATTATGGACAAATGGAGTATTGAATTGTTGAGAGTGTTTCACACCTTTTTAAGAAAAGAAGACTAAGACATAAATTAGACATTATTTTTTATTTTTATCCTTATTAATTATTGTCAAATTAATCTTTAAAATAATTCAAAGCAATTAAAGTATCTTGAAGGGTAAAAAATGAAAGAATATTTTAAAAGTACTCTTGAAAATTGAACAATTAAGTTAGTTTGAAATATAAAAAATATTTTAACAATTCAATTATTTTGATACAAAGAAAGTATTAAATATACAATTTCATCAAATGCATGTTCACCAACTTGATAGTACGTACCTAAGTCTAAACAGTTACTAAACGGAACCCAACAAATTAAAACAGATAAAATGTATGAATCGACACCCATAACAATTAAATAGATAACTAAAATTATATTTTGTTTTATTTGAATTTAATAATGTAAAAACTGATTAAATTAATTTGTTTGTGATTATGATCAATTACTAATCCAAACCAACATGTCAACACAAAAGATAAAGACAAACAACTTGGAAGAAAAATCAAACCTTTATTTATTTTAGGACAATAGTTCTGTCGATATTAGGTCCAGCAAAGTGCAAACAATCACAATCAGAGGCTGATGATGGAGATAAATATTGTAGGCTCAACATGAAAAACGTACCATTAGACTTTTCTTATTTCCTTAATAATTGAAAAAAACCCCACACCGGAAGAACATCATCATCGCGATCACATCCATTACATCTTCAGAGGAATTGATGAACCTTGACAATACAGTAGTATTTAGAATTTCCGTATTCATGTCATACGAGCAGAAAGATTTCTTGTCCTGCTTCATGTAGAACAAAACAGAATTGTCAGCAAAAGCAATAAATGTCATTAACTCCATCAAGAAATTCAACTTCATGATCCGTGTTGTTTCATCCCATCTCAACTTTCTGTAATCATTTAATACTAAAACACGGAGCTCATCATTTACTTGTTCAACGAATGAAAGCTGGCCATTCCAATCCATGAGACTAGGGCTGGTGAAGAAACCTCTGGGCAAAATAGTATGACCAATGTAGGTCTCATTAATCATATCCAAAACATCAATTTCTATATCAGTACAATTATCAATATGCCAAATGCAATAAGCAACTCCCGTTCTAAAGAAAACCTGAATTCCGTTCCTCTTATTATTGTTTTCATGATGTAAGTTAGGTAGCTTCACATCTCGCCAACAATAAGTACTTTTATCCCTCCCAATTTCATAACCATGTTCATGAACAGAAACCAACTTGACAGCTAAGCTATCGAAGACGAAATCCAAGGCGATGCATAAACTAGGATTGGGGATATCAAGCCTTTGTCGTAATATAGAGCATTCAATGCGGTATCTCTTAGTAGAAGAATTTCTGGAGATATAAGCCTTGACTACTCGTAGTAGTAATGCTAAACTCGACTTGGTCTCTGTCCTCGTTTTCTAGGTCCTTCAAAGTGTTTTCTGTCTCCTTCAAAGTGCCTGTCAGATCATCCAAGTTTAAACCAGATTCTGAATTTCGATAGTGAAGGAAGGCGAGATGAGGATGAAGAAAAAGGGTATTCCATAGCTTGCAAACAGATCTAAATTTGAACAATGATGAGAGTGGCAAGTTACTCAATATGTAAAATATTAATTTATCAGGAAGCTGCGGGTAATTCTCCTCCTCATCCGTTCTCATTCTCATTTCTCTTTCTCATACACATTCTGAACACATGAAAATCCTTTGTTAGAGATTAATTAACCAACCAACAATATTCAGATTTGTAAAATAAACTATGGATACAAACCTCGATTGATTTCCTAACATACATACGATTATTTATAGTACATAGCCCCTTCCTTTTTGGTATCCCAAACCAATATCAATAAGGAATACAAAATATTATGTGGTATATTTAAGGTATTTTTATGTCTATATATTGATTTTGAACCTTTTAAATGTAAGATTAGAGGTTGACTTAGTGATCGATGAGTTTCATCTTGAGGTTCCAAGATCAAATATTAGGCATTACTCTCTTTTTTTTCCAAATACCCTTAATGGAAATCTTGAATGCTCAAAAATCTTTATTAAGGAATTGGGACTTTTATTTATTAATTTTTTGCTCGAAAAAACAAGTTCTACACCTAGCAAACACGCGAGAGCCTCTTTGTATTTTAAAAAACTTTAGGCTCTTTTTAAACTTTTCAAAACAGTCTTACTAGTTTTTTTGGAACACGTCCTGCTTCATGTTAACAGAATAACAAAGCCAGTTGGGGGTCTCTGTTTAAAGGCAACCAATTTTTGGACAACTTATAAAAAAAACAAGAAAATTATTGTACTCCCAAAAATGTGTAATCCCCTAAATTTTAATTATTTTTTTTATGTTTGGATAAAACGGCACAGAGGACATTTTTATTCATTTCACATAGTTTAAGAATATTTTTTTACCTTTTTTTCTTATTTTATTAAAGGGTAAAGGGTCAAATATGCCCCTAAACTATTCGAAAAGGTCTAGCTATGCCCTCCGTTTAAAGTTTGGCTCACTCATGCCCTCGTTGTCCAACTTTTCGTCTAAATATGCCCTTATGGGCGTTAGTTGGCCTGCTGGACATATCCAGCTCATTTTCCATTTCTTTAAATGCTACATGGAATTGTCATGTCATTTTGACTTTACCACATGACATTTATATGGAAATGGAAAGGGATCAATTATGCCCCTAAAAAATTTGAACTCATAAACACTTAATCCGACCCATAAATCAACCCCCTTTTAAATAAACTACCCGACTCATTTTCAACAATTTTGTTTAAATTTTTATTTTTTTCGGTAAATCCCCGAAAAATTAGTAATTGATTAACAAAAAATAGGAAAAATATGAAAAAAATATAAAATTAACGCCAAAAATTCACAAATAAATGTTGTAACCTTAAATTCAACAATTTTTAATTTTTTTTTTTTCGATAAACCCCAAAAATGAATAGTTGATTAAGTTTAGGGGCATATTTGATCCTTTACCCTTATTTTTAATCAACTACAAGACTAATTTAATAGTCATTGTAAAAATTACTCACTGATCTCTTGATGAAAATAATATTTATTAATCTCTTTAATTACTTTTTCACACGGAGAATTTATATTTTATGTGGAGACGACGACAAGATTTTTAATATGACCATTTTCTGACGATATAAAAGGGTAAGTCCCTAGCAACTTTAACAACCATGGCTGAGTTGTGGATTTATTGAACAGCATTGGAATTCAAAATTAATGTTTTAGTTTCTCTGATCTATATCGAGTATCTAATATAAATCATTAAAATTGAGTGCATAAAGTTGGGAGAAAATATAACAATTCAGTACATAAAAAACGCAAGACATCTGCTTCAATTGTAGCGACCACGTACTTATAATCATTATCTCAAGAAATTTCTTTCATCCTCGTGAAGTAATTCTGCATGCGAATATGTGACAACTCTACGTAAAAAGTGATTTGAGTTATATAGGCTGACAATGTAATGAATTTATGTTAATTATTCTTTTGATTTTAAGTCAGTTTTATAACCTAGAAAATAATTGTTATCTAGGTAATTGTTGGTGTCTCATTAATTATTCCTTCAACTACGATTCTTTTGTTCGATCAAATCTATTAATGATAAATTTAATTTGTTAATATCGACCGTCTCAATCGAGTTTTGATATAATGATGTTATTTAATATCACATATTAGAGTGCTTAATTACTTGAGTTATCTTTCATGAATTTCACTCAAAAAATAGATAAAGGTTAACGAATGAATATCAATCTATTATTATTATTTTGTCCCCAGGGTGTATATTTTTAAATTGAAGACAATGTTCTTGAAGAACTTGAGGTTAAAAAAGTGATTCAGTATGGACTCTAATTTGGTACTATTAGAAAAATAGTAATCCGTGTTATATGCCTATTTTATTTCATTTTATATATTATCTCGTTCTTCCCTTTGATATATATATATATAAAGATAATGATATATTTATATATTCAAACTTTTTGTTACCTACAAGTTCAAAATATGTAATGAAATATCGCCATATAATACGAAACAGTGGGGATTATTATAAAAGTAATTAGACAAAAAAAGATGCAGTAGTCAACCGTCCTGAAAAATAAGTTAGAATTATATAATTCTAATCATTTCAATTTTTAAACTAGACAAGGTACATGATTAGAGTTAAATAATTCTAATAATTTCAATATTTAAATAAGACAAGGTACATAAAATGACATTTGGAATATAATATTATAGGTAGCCAGCTCAACTTGTAGTTGTACATACACGATATTAGCTAGTAGCTAGACTAATTGTTTGTAAAATCTCAAATCATATATCATCTTAATTAATAGTTTGAAAAAATGGGAAATATATTTGTAATTTTGAAGCCAATTATTCATGTTGTAATGAAAGCTGCTGGAATGACATCCCAATTAGTGGAAATAGAACCAGGAACCACAATGCATTTTTGGGTTCCAACTGAATCTATTCATCCAAACAACAAGTTAACAAATAAATCTCCAGTTTTATTTGTTCAGGGATTTATTGCCAATGGAATTGTTACATGGCTTTTTCAAGTACTCTCCTTATGTTCAAATTTCGCTGTCTACGTACCTGATTTACTATTCTTTGGAGATTCCATCACCACTCGCCCTGAATGGTCAACAAGTATTCAGGTAATTATATGATTATCTCATCTAAAAATTTAAAAAAGTCTTTAATAGGTATAATATTTTTTTTCGTAGGCGGAATGTTTAGCAAAGGGAATGATGAAGTTGGGTGTGGAAAAGTTTTCTCTTGTTGGGTTTAGCTATGGAGGAATGGTTGGGTTCAAGTTGGCTCAATTGTATCCTCACATGGTTGAATCTATGGTTATGACAAGCGCAGTTATTGAGATGACTGAATCTATAAGCAATGCTTCTTTGAAGAATGTTGGGTTTACAAATTGGCCTGATTTTCTTTTGCCTAAAACTGTCTCTGGAGTTAAAGTGCTTCTATCTATTGGTACTCAAAAGTTGCCATGGCTTCCTGAATTTTTCTACAAGGATTTTCATGAGGTAACCAATTTTTTTTATTGTTGGATTTATGAATGAGTTGTGACTTTTAAAAAGGATTGTGATTTTTCTAGAGGAATTTCGTGATAAGATACAATAAATACATATTTATACCATTATTTGTTGACTATAAATAAGGTGTTTTCCCTATTTTTTCAATCAACAATTTTTTTGGATCTTCTAGCATTAATTTAAAAAGGGAAAAAGGACAAATATACCCCCAAATTATCGTAAATGGTATGTCAATACCCTCCGTTATACTTTAAGGTTGTATTTACCCTTACTGTCAATATTTTAGGTTGTGTATACCCTTGAGACTAACGGCTGGACACGTGGCTACATCTCAATAATTTACCTAATATTTATTTTTTTTAATCCGAAATTTTTTAAAAAAAACACCCATCTTCCCTAATCCATCCATAACCCGAATTAAAACCCATCTTCCATAATAATTCCCTTCAAACAGTGCTAATTGTCCATCTTCTTCTCTTCTTTAATTCTCAAAATATTGTTGCACAAATAAAAAATTTCACTAACATTAGTGAAGGAGAGAAAGAGAAGACAAATATGATAATATAGAGATAATCTGGAGAAAGGGAGCAGATAATTTCATTCAGCAAAAGCTTACACATATATATAGATACAAAAGGTGGTGTCAAATCCCTTAAATCCTAAAAACTGACTCCCTATTTTGTGCTTAAATAAAGCTCCACCACATATTACAATATCTTCTACATTCTAGAACTTTGTATTAAAATTAATTCAAAAGTTATACCAAAAATATCAAGACAAAAGTACTAGCACGACAACACTTAGCATCACATACAAAAACAACAACCTTCATCACTCCTCCTTGATGCAAGTGTTGTTGGATACTCCTCCTTGATGCAAGTGTTCTAGGTAAATTATTGAGATGTAGCCACGTGTTCAGCCGTTAGTCGCAAGGGTATACACTACCCAAAATATTAACGGTAAGGGTATATACAACCTTAAAGTATAACGAAGGGTATTGACATACCATTTACTATAGTTCGAGGGGATATTTGTCCTTTTCCCCATTTAAAAATAATCTTGCGATTTACTGCTATTGAATAAGTTTGTTTTGCTATATTGGTGAGTAAATTGTTCAATTCTGAAAAATATATATTTCATAACTTCAGATAAACTAATTGGAATAATTTTCTTGCGGACAAATTGTGAATAAAGTGGATTCGATTCTTATGTTATTCAAATTTATTTTATTTATTATTTGTTGTTCTTTTGAATACATATTGAATAAAATATGCGTAATTGATCTCTTTCTAAAGTTGATTACATCACAACTTTATTGTCAAAAAAACCCATAGGATTATGATCTAAATATCAACTTTATGTTTACAACTATTTCAAGTCAAAGGTGGATGAAGGAGGAAGAAATATAAGCGGCCCTAAAACTTGAAGAAAAAAAAAACAGCCCAAAAAGATTAATAGTCATAGTCAAAAGTGGTCAAACACTTTAATTTGAATTTTTGATGCAGTAAACATAGTATGTTAGGTTTCTTAACTCATGTGCTAATTGCTAATTTGCTATAATATCTTTTGACAATTCATCGTTTAGAGATATGTAAATCAGTTTTTAGCGAAACATATTGACTTAACAAAAAAAAGTTTTTAGTAGGGAAAAACCTACTTTTGATTTTTAACTTTTTAAAAGTCATTTAAAACTTTTTTTTAAGTTACTTTTTAAAAATGACTTAAAAATAAGTTTGATCAATTTTAAGTCAATTCAAATCGGCTCTTGAAATGTTGTAAGGGAGCACTTCTCCTATGTCATATATACAAATCACAAGTTGTTTTATCTATAATAAATCTAATTAAACAATCTATAAAGCACAATAAATTACTTGTTATGTAAAAGAAAATATCTATATGCATATAAGTCAAATTGACAGGTTTGTACTATGATTTTAATAGTAAAATGTTGTATAAGCAGACAATGTTTGGCAACAGAAAGAAGAAAGTGGAACTTCTTGAAGCTTTAGTAGTCAGTGACAAAGATGCCACTATTAAGACCCCTAACTACTCTCAGGTTTGTTCAGCCTTAATTTAATGAATCAATTATTTGTTTATGATAAATTCAAATTGACAATATTCATAAATCTCTTTGTTTACTTCTTCACACAGAGAATTTATATTTTATGTGGAGACGATGACAAGATTTTTAATAAGACATTTTCTGATGACATGAAAAAGTAAGTCCCTAATTGAGCTTTAGATTTGGTGATCAATTCTGAAATTCAAAATTAATGATTTTATTTGTCAGATATATCAAATATCTGATAAGAATCATTAAAAATAAGTGCAGGAAGTTGGGAGAAAATGCTACAGTTCACTACATAAAAGATGCAGGACATCTGGTTCATTTGGAACGACCATACATTTATAATCATTATCTCAAGAAATTTCTAACATCCTCATAAAGTGATTGATGTGTATGCAAACATGTGACAAATTTATTTAATAGTGATTTAAGTTCTATAGGCTGACAATATAATGAATTTATGATAATTATTGTTGTGATGTTAATCAATACTCTCTCTATTTTATATTAATGGAATTTTTGGGTCTTTTTTCATTTTTTAAAGTTCAAATAGATGTTTGAATTTTTTTTATATTTGCCCCTTCCTCTAATGAAGTTTGATATTTTTAGGAGATAAATTGTACAAAGTTATATTTATAATTTCATAAAAGACAATAATATAAAATATGATTTAAATTATGTTCTTGAATATTTTTCTTAATAAGTGTATATCATCTTAAAAATTTAATTAATATTACAATGAGAAAACACGTAAAATGATTGAAAAATTGACAATTGATAATGATAGAAATAATACATAGGAGTATATAAATGCACATGTACCAATATCGCCATATAATTTGAAATGTTGGGTATAATAAAAATAATATGACAAAAAAAAAGGCAAAAAGGAAAAAAAAAGATGCCGTCAACCGTCGTGAAAAATGAGTTAGGATTAAATAATTATAGTCTTTTTAATATTTGAATAGGACAAGGTACATAAATAAAAAGATAAAGACTTTGTCAACTGGAATATTTCTATTCTAGCTACCCAGCTCAACTTGCACGTTGTACATACACGATATTAATAAATGTTGTCGTGTGGATATTGTGAACGACTAATTGTTTATAATATCTCAGATCAGATATCATATCATCTTAATTAATTCATCCAGAGAGAAAATTAAGAGCTTGAAAAAAAATGGGAAATACATTTGTAATTTTGAAGCCAGTTATTCATGGTTTAATGAAAGCTGTTGGAATGACATCCCAGTTAGTGGAAATAGAACCAGGAACTTCAATGCATTTTTGGGTTCCAACTAAATCCATTCATCCAAACAACAAATTATCAAATAAACCTCCAGTTTTATTTGTTCATGGATTTGTTGCCAATGGAATTATGACATGGCTTTTTCAAATACTCTCTTTAAGTTCAGATTTCGCTGTCTACGTCCCTGATTTACTTTTCTTCGGAGATTCCATCACTACTCGTCCTGAACGATCAACAAGTATTCAGGTAATCTCATCTAAAAATATAAACTGTTTGTTAATATGTACTACAATATTTTTAACTATGGGATAATTAATTAATAAATAGGCGGAATGTTTAGCAAAGGGAATGATGAAGTTGGGTGTGGAAAAGTTTTCTCTTGTTGGGTTAAGTTATGGAGGAATGGTTGGGTTCAAGTTGGCTCAAATGTATCCTCACATGGTTGAATCTATGGTTATGTCAAGCACAATTATAGAAATGACTGAATCAATTAGCAATGCTTCTTTGAAGAATATTGGGTTCACAAATTGGCCTGATTTTCTTTTGCCTAAAACTGTCTCTGGAGTCAAATTGCTTCTATCTATTGGTTCTCACAAGTTGCCATGGCTTCCTGAATTTTTCTACAAGGATTTTCACGAGGTACGTAGTACTCATTTCAGATCCTTTAATTAATCTGCTGTTATTAGTATGTGCTAAGCTACATGATTGTGTTTGATGATCTAATGATGAAAACGTCTAATTATGATCCAAATAGCAACTTTATTTTTACAACTATTTCAAGTAAAAAATGGATTGAGGAAGAAACAGAAGTGACCCCCAAAAGATAATTAAAGTCAAAAGTCAAAAGTGGACAAACAACTTTATTTTGATGTAATTAGACTAGGCTTCTTAACTCATGTGCTATAATATCTTTTTGACAATTCATCGTCATTAGAGATACATGAACCAGTCATTTCGATTATTTGTTTTTACCATCTGGTAGAGGCGGTCCTAAAATGTTGTCTATGAATTCGATAGAATTTCGATCATTTTAATTTTAATTTTGTATTTATTTTGAAAGTTTATTGCATATATATAAATTATTAATATTAAACTCAATAATTTTAAAAAGTTAAAATCTAAAATCCAAAAATTGACTTAATAAAGAGTAAATAACTCGTGATGTAAAAGAAAATATCTATGTATAAAAGTCAAATTAACGTGTTTGTACTATAGTTTTTTTTAATAGTAAAACGTTGTAAAAACAGGCAATGTTTAGCAACAGAAAGGAGAAAGTGGAACTTCTTGAAGCTTTAGTAGTCAATGACAAAGACGCCACTATTAAGGTCCCTAACTACTCTCAGGTTTGTCCAATCTTAATTTAATGTTTCATTTATTTTGAATAATGAAAAATCAAATAGTCTAATTTAACAGTCATTTTCAATTTTTATAGTCATTTTCAAGATTTCTCCCTGATCTCTTGATGATGAAAGTAGTATTTATTATTCTCTTTGTTTACTTTTTCACGCAGAGGATTTATATTTTATGTGGAGATGACGATAAGATTTTTAATACGACATTTTCTGATTACATGAAAGAGTAAGTCCCTAGCAACTTTGGGAACTATATGGTTGAGCCTAGATTTGTTAAACAATTTTGGAATTCAAAATTAATGTTTTAAATTTATTTATCAAATTTATCGAATATCTAATAAGAATCATTTAAAATGAGTGCAGGAAGTTGGGAAAAAATACGACAATTCAGTATATAAAGAATGCAGGACATCTGGTTCAATTGGAGCGACCATGCACTTATAATCATTATCTCAAGAAATTGCTTTCATCTTCGTGAAGTGATTCTTCATGTGAACATGAACATGTGAAAAAACAGTATAATAGCAATTTAAGTTATATAGGCTAATAATATAATGAATCTATGTTAATTATTTTTGTGATGTTAATCAATATTATTACCTAGAAAATAATTGTTATCTAGGTAATTGTTGGTGTCTTTAATTATTCCTTAAAAGTAATGTTGTTTTGTTCTATCGAATGTATCAATGGTAAATTTAATTTGTTAATATCAACCTTCTCGATTGAGTTTTAATATAATGACGTTCTTTAATATCGCGTGTTAGAGTTACTTAACCACTTGAGTTAGTTTTCATGATTTTTACTCAAATTGACAAATGATGATGAATAAATATCGATTGATTCCTATTTTGTCCCTAGAATTTGTTTGAACCACTAGTATAACATCGATTTTTACTCAAATTGACAAATGATGATGAATAAATATCAATCGATTCCTATTTTGTCCCTAGAATTTGTTCAAACCACTAGTATAGCATGGGTGTATATTTTCAAATTGAAAATAATATTGGAACTTAATTTATATCATTGGTTTTCCCACGGATCATATAACTAAAGTGATCATTGATCAAAGTGTTGATGCTATGAATGATAAAGGAATGGATCGAGTTGAAACTTAAAAGGTGAAGATATTAATGGGTAAAGATAAAAAAAATTATGGTACATCATGTTATTTCACGTATTTAAGATCGATGCCATAGTGCAATAATTACATTTCATAAAAGTATTTCAAAGTATTCATGGTTTAAGTAAGCTTATGCCAATATGAGATAATTAATGCGACTGTAGCTTGAAGCCTTGAAAGTTCGCTTGAAATGTGAAAGACCATAAATTCACATAATCATAAACTATCTAATAAATTCGAGTCCGGAGCCAAAAGGGCAAAAAAAATTGCCAAAAATTCCAAAAGGGCACATCATATTTTTTTAAAACCAAAACGGCAAAATCGCTCCTGCCGGAGCGATTTTCCTCTGACACATATTAACGCCGTGTACTCCGTTAAAATAAAATCGCTGGCACAACAGCGATTTTTTAACTCTAATTTTTTCCTCCACCTAATATCGCTGCTATGGCAGCGTTTTCATAGAAAAAAAAATTTTGTAAAAACTTTTTTTTGGAAAATCGCTGCCCTGGCAGCGTTTTCGTTAATTTTTTTTTTTCGAAAATCTTTTCTTAATTAGACCGCCTTTTAAAATCGCTGCCTTGGCAGCGATTTTGGTGGAACTAGTTTTCTATAAAAAAAAAATCGCTGCCTTAGCAGCGATTTTTATAGAAATATTCTTTTATTTTATTTTATTTTTTGAAATTTCTGTCAACTAGTCAACATCTGATGGTAAATTTTATTTTATTTTTTGTTTAAATCGCTGCCCGTGCAGCGTTTTTGCTATTTTAAAAAATTAAAATTAAAATCACTGCTATTACAACGTTATTATAAAAGCAAATTTATTTTATTTTTTTGGCGTTAATTATTTGTTTTTAAATTGCTGTTGTTGCAGCGTTATTATAAATTTTGTGGAAAAAAGTTTTTTTTTTTAGAAATCGCTGCCTTGGCAGTGCTTTTGGTGGAACTTTTTTTTTAAAAAAAAAAAAAATTCTATCAACTAGTCAACAAGGGTAGCGATTTTTTTTTAAAAACAAAATCGCAAAAACGCTGCACGGGCAGCGATTTTAAAAAAATAAAAGAAATTTACCATCAGATGTTGACTAGTTGACAGAAATTTCAAACAATAAAATAAAATAAAAAAATATTTCTACAAAAATCGCTGCCAAAGCAGCGATTTTTTTTAATAGAAAACTAGTTCCACCAAAATCGCTGCCAAGGCAGCGATTTCAAGATATATATATATATATATTTTTTGTAAAAAAGTTGTCAAAAGGCTGAAAATTGCTGCCTTGACAGCTTTTTAGTTAAATTTTTATTTTTTTTTAATTCGTTACTCTTCAATTTTTATTTTTTTAAAATTGTTTTTCGTTTTGAAAACAAGGCAGTGTTTTTATTAAAAAACAATTTTTTAACAAAAATCGCTGAAAAGGCAGTCTAATTAAGAAAAGATTTTCGAACATTTTTTTTAAGGAAAACGCTGCCAGGGCAGCGATTTTCCAAAAAAAAGTTTTTTCAAAATTTTTTTCTTCTATGAAAACGCTGCCATAGCAGCGATATAAGGTGGAGGAAAAAAATTAGAGTTAAAAGATCGCTGTTGTGCCAGCGATTTTAGTGGAAAAAAAAGAATTTTTTTTTTTTTTGTAAAATCGCTGCCCTGGCAGCGATTTTATTTGAACGAAGTACACGGCGTTAATATGTGTCAGAGGATAATCGCTCCGGCAGGAGCAATTTTGCCGT